TATATATATATATATATTACTGAGTGAAATAAGGAGCTCCCATTCAGAAAAACGTTCTGTGTTCTGTGTAAGCATCATGTGGCATTTAATCTGATTCTCTCAAGGAGGCATGGTACCCTAGGCAGTGTGAGAGGCATTCTTCTCTCTGCTTGGCAGATGGATTCCTTTTTAGGATGGTTAAATTGTTAGTTGTTCAAAACAAAGTTTAATTTCACAATTGGTGATTTAGCTAGAGATGTCAAAACACATGTGGGAACTGCCAACAAGCAAATACATCACATCTATTGAAGCTCTTTTTGGCCTCATCACGATAACATCAGACACAGAGTAAGGCATGTAGATCATAGCAATTACAAGTCACTCACAATCCTTTTGTGATGGGAAGAGCATTTCACCCTCCTCTCTGTATCACCTGACACAATTTTTTTTCACACGGATTTTGTTACACATCACACAGAGGTGTGTACCGGTGTGGCTGAATGGGAAGGAGATGAACCTCTGTCAGAGGAGGAAGAAATGGATCGTGTAGCAGCCTCCCGCTGCAAATCTTCAACCTTCTTCTGAAGCTCCGTCCGGATGGCAAGGAGCTCTTTAAGATTTTGATGGATCGGAACCTGCCGGGTGAAGAAAGAAAAGGCTTACTTTGACTGTCATAGTCAATTATCTTCTCAAGCAATGCTGCCACAGTTTCCTTCAGTAACACAGTGCATCCAAGACCGATGAATGTCAGTATATCAATATTTAGGGACAGTGTTTCTTTAGTCATTTGAAACAAAACATTGCAGCAAACTGTCCCTTTCTAATACCACAGTTGTCAGGAAACCTATTCAAAAGGCTGTTTGCAAATGGTCTTGCTGGGATACCAAACATATTCCACTAAATATACCCCTATCCCTTATCAATAACACTTAAACTCAAAATGCCTTTCCTGGGAACTATTTCCCCTGCCTGTTGGGACAGAACTTATTTTGTAAAGAGAGCAGAGTTCACAAAGCTGGCTCCATATGGAGCATCTTATTACTCTTCTAACCAGGCATCTTTCCAAGAGCCTGACCCCTTGCAGCTTGTCAGTGAGAAAAGTGCAGCAGCCAAGTGAACTGTGCTCGCGGTGGACCTCCCAGAGTCACACTCTGACAAGCCTTTCGTATAACTGGATCAAGTTTCTGCCTCTACTTCTGACAGTGCCCAAAAACCACCAGAGACGCACCTCTCAGCATCAGACCTCTAGGCATTTGTCATGCTTATCTGGAACATTAAACTATATCCTGGCCAAAGGAAGATACAAGCCACACTGGTTTTGGCAGCTGGATCTGTTATCTCAGACAAGCACAAAGAGAGCTCCCCTTCTTCCAAATGCCACAGAAGGGCCAAAAATGTTTGACTGTAAATTGCTTTTAATTTATTTTATCCTGTATAAACTCTAATGGTTTACAGCTTTTGGACAGAGCAAGATGGGAAAATAATTTAACTGGGCTGGTGAGACAATAATGGCAAAATGCAGCAATGGGAAACCTATGGATTGCTAGATGGTGTAAGTAATTTATACCCTGGGATTCTGGAATGCCAGGCTCCAGGGAACCACATTCACGCACGATCGCTTCCTACTGCTTAAAAGTGATTACAGGGCCGGGATGCACACCTGAGCAAGAAATTCTCGCATGGTGCTATGTGAAGAAGATATCAAAAACCAGAAAGGGTTTCTCTTCTTGCCATCAACACACAACTCAGTTCACAATTTTTGGGTTTTTTTTTGTGAATTCAGGCTTTTTAAAGAAAATTCATCAAAAATCTATGCATCTGATGCTGATATTTTCAAAATCTAACACTCGTGTTTCTGAAACAGGAAAATACCATTTCATTTCTAACGTTAGTTCTAACATAAAAGAATAAAATAGCATCAAACAGTCTGGTTTAGGTCAAAATCTTCTTGGCCATATGCTTTTTTCTTGTTTGTGGCTTCACCTATGAACAGAAACTTCAGTGTATTCACAAAGTGCTGCTCCCAGTACCCTGGGAGTCATCAATTCATCCAGTGTGCCATCTACAGCAATTTTAAAAGCATAACTTTCTGAGTCTTCAGCTGAACAATCACTGCAAACCACCAAGCCCCCAATGACCCCAGAGTCCTGCCTTTGCTATGCCATGAATTCCTTCTCTTCTTGCAGTCTTCTCCTGTGTCCACCACAGAAACTCTTTAGCAGGCGAGGCCACAAATCTGCAAACAGCCTCCTCCGCTAATCAAACACAAAGCACACCCTCCAGAAAGATAATCTCATTTTTCTGAGTTGGTCTACAAGGAATGTATACACCTAAAAAGATGGCAAAACTGAGTGTGGTGGTGAAGTTTGTCCAAGATGCTGTAACACACACTATGGAAAATTCAAACTTCACTGAAGACCAAGACTTTCTGGAATTAGCACACTCCCCTACTATTTTTTTTTTCTTTCCTCAAGTAAAATATCCCTTCCTCATACACTCCTACTTCAGATTTCTTCTTTATGAAGACATTTTCCTGACACTTAGGTCTGTAACAGAGTGATTCACCCTTGGTATCATTAGTCACACAAGCCCTGGGTCACGGGAGGTTTGTACACCTGATTTCTGCACAGTTTAATCATGATTCAGCATAACAGGCCAATTTCCCTTAGACACCTTTCACACGGGCATTAGCTGGTGTGTTCCACTGTGCAATGCTCAAACGGACCACGAATCCTTTCAGGATACACTACACAAAAGCCACTGCAGAGCTCGGCACGCTGTGTAAAGTGCTTCAAGGAGGAAAAGTGTGGCTGCACACCTCAATCCTTCTGCATCCCCCCAGAACCTAATTCAACAAGACACATGCTCAAATTTTGACACAAGTGCTGTTCTCCCCACGTGTCCATCTCAAAGAACAGGACTTTCTTTAAATAAATTAGCTAAATAACAATAATGACATTTAAAAAGTCTGTGTATATTCAAGTCACACATAAAACTCTTCAACATTAATGCTGCAAAATTATACCCTCAAAAAATCAGATGTCAGAATGAAGATTACTTCTCCAAATTCAATTCAGCCCTCCTGTACACCTGTACAAAATAATTGGTTAAATAAACATTAAAATCCTAGCTTCCCCCTTGTATTCCTCATTTGTTCAGTGCACAGTTTGATGCTACTCAATTAGTGAGCAGTTATTCAATATTTAGCTTTCTTTGCAGTGTCTGACCCCATCCTTTATTTATTCTTCTGAACTTAAAAAGCTAAGTTTCCTGTTCTGTACTTTCATCTCATGTCAAGAAACAAATGTATTTCTGCAGCACCCTAATGAGGTACAGGAGTCCTAACGCTCCACTTTTACAGACAAGGACCTGAAGCAAGCAGCTTCTTATCTTCCGTACCTTGGATCTCAAATTGGTTTACAGAGAATTGAGGAATTCTGCAAATTCGGTCTTGTGGGTATCAAGCAGGACACCCAGTAAATAAGGAGCACAGCCATGGTGACCATTCTGCTCCAGGTATCTCCCTTACAACAGAGGAATCCCAGGGCAAAGGCAAGGAGAAACTGCATTTCTCCAGAGCAGCATCCTGCTCCCTCACTCACAGGACAATTTTTCCTTTGTCTGGAGCTGTGCCCCCTCCAGCCTGCTTTCTCAGATTGTATTCCATGGGTTGAACAGAAAGCAAAGACCTCCAACACCTGGAGCGTTATTCACTCCTAGTTCCTGTTCCCAGGTCGTCACAGCTCTCTCATAGACTGTACCAAATCCATCTCTCAGTCCTTTTACTCTCATTTACTCTCAGTCTTTGAGAATTCACTGAGACTGTTCCACCTCAGACCTCCAAAATGGATTAATTTCTTCCAGGATATGAGCAGGCACATTTCTGAAACATAATCTCTCTTACTAAAATTTCATGTTTGCCCTAGAGACGGAATATTTACAGAAAAACAGCCCCTCGCCCCAATAAAAGAAGTCTACAATACCAATATTTTCATATGGGAAAATACTTTTCTCAGTCACATTCTCATAAGCAACTGAGCCTTCTTGGATGAAGTTTTACAAAACAATTCAGTCAGACACACATACTTGGTGACTCAATACAAATCACTGGAGTCCAGCAAAGCTGTAAGCAAAGCAGAGTAAGGTCTTATAATGGAAAGAAAAGAAAAAAAAAAAAAAAAAAAAAAAAAAAGGGTCACCTTCAAAATTTGGGCCATTTTTTAATAAGTGCATATTAGATGTAAACACGGCAAGACAGTTTTACATAAATATCATCACGCCATTTCATATGGCAGTGTAAACACAAATGGTTTTCTCATGTCAAGTCCTTCCCAGGGAAAGACCCTTGCAGCTTGCCATTTAACAGAGCATATGGATGTAAAACAATAAACTTCCAAAAACAGATTTCACACACTAAATTTCCAATACATACTTTAATGTCATGAAATAACATGTCAAATTCAGTCTAGAGAAATCCTGAGCACTTCCAGAGTATTTTCAAGCAACTGACAATAACTGGTTTATTAATGATAAGGGTCCATGTGAGAATTACATACTCATGGGGTAAGAGAAAAGTTCGTACAGGCAGCTGAAATGTATTTAAAGAATATGATAGAAGTTCTTATACAAAGACCTGAAAAGCACCATGGCATAAGGAGCTGCGTTTTCCCAGATGCCTTAAATTCTTCTACTGTAACTTCCCTTTTTTGAGAAGAGCAGCAAATTTAAATGTGAAAAAATGAAAATACAGATAATGGTGCTGGAGGGAAAAGGAGGCAAAATGGCCAAAACAAAGCCTCAATCTCAAATCATGTGTATTTTTTTTTTAATGAAACAACACATTAAAAGAACCACATAGAACTGGAATTATGCAGCTTCCAACTATCTTGGAAGGAAGAGAAAGAGGATGAAGCATCTTCAAATGAATTCTGTCACAAAACCCATGAAAATACTGAAAGAAAAAAGAAGTTTATTTCATTTCCACATTTCCTAAAAACCTGTTGCTGCCAGTGTTTCCTCCTGTGCTAATTCTTACAGATAACTGTCTCAGTTTTTGTCACTTCACTCCATTATATTTCAGTGTGTGATTCCTCTCTCGAATAAAGCCTCCTTCAGAAAGGAAAGGGTCCAACAGCCTTCACAATAACACCTGTAATGGCTTGCTGTGAATGAGGTTCTCCTTTACTTTACCACTGTTTAGAATAAAAGGAAGTGGAAGAGTGACAGATTCTGTAAGGAACAAGAAGTTTGGAGAAGATAGTCTATTAAAAGATCTTGTTACCACCTTAACCCTACAAGTGTGTGCTTGCACAGCACAAGTAGTGTCTCCACAGCAAGCTTTTATTACAGTCTTGTTAAGAAATCATATAATTGATTTGACCAAGATGAATTTGTTGGGAGTCTGACAGGAGACGTACTGTTTTCTACTCTCTCATCCCACCTCTCCAATTAGGAGTGGAAGCTCAAAAGATGACTCTAGACCCACCACCCAGTTGTTTTCAAGTTATTTTTTTGCAGCTCTACTCCACTGTATCGATACCAGATTTTCAGAAGAGGGTGCATCCCTTCCTTTGTCACGCCAGCTTCGCAGCGTGTCCCTGCAGCAATGCTGCTAGGCAACACCCAGCCACTACAG